TGTCCCTGCCTGTGACAGGGCAGTTGGAACTAGATGATCTTTGAGGTCCCTTCCAACTCAACCCATTCTACGATTCTATGATTCTAAATTAAAATAAAACATACACCCATGGAGAACAGGAAAGCAATGGAAACAAATTATTTTACCATTACAGAATCACAGGACTCAGAGAAAAAAATTTTACTTCCTCTCCTGTTGTTCTGGAAGATCATTATTGACATTACAGATCAGAACAAACAGCCACCCACACAGCATGGGGAAAACCAGGGGTCAGTCCTGCACTGTTTCAAATCTCTTATTTAAGAAACCAAAAAAGTCACACAAAACAAATTGGACAACGTGTCGCCACGTTCCCATGTTCCCATTCTCTTTCAAGTTGGGAGCAACTGCAATTGTTTGCCTCTCCACAGCCCTTCTCTATAGACTTTGCAAAATCAATTCTCACTTGAACTCCCAGAGATAACCAAGTATCAATGGATGGTGGGACAGCTCCAGACCTGCACTTCAGTCCATGATAGCACCAGGACTGGGCAGTAACCAGCCTACTCTCAGGCCTTTGCCCTACTCTCTGCTTCTTTCCTATCTATCTCCTGCCTTCCCTCACCCCTCTCACACCTTGCTCTCTCTTCCAGCCGGATCGCTGCACCCTGAGGGTTCGCAGGGAAGCTGGGAGCTAGGAGGCAGGGTTCAGACACCAGGTGAGAAAACACAAGGGAAGAGATTGTTTTCTTACTTCTTTGCATGATGCCACCCTCCAGGCCAGTTAATTGCTACCTTGCACTTGCCGTCCAACAAGCACTGGGCTGCGGTGATGGTGGCTCCTCCCACAGCTGCTGCATACTCAAAGATCCCTTCGGTAGCTGGACAGTCGTAACCTGCAGGTAAGAGTCCACATGTCAGGCGCAACAGGCCTTTTTGTCTGGAGGAAGCACATTATTTTTGTTCTGAGCTATCTCTCTCTAATCACAGATATCCACCTGCAGCCCGCAGAGGACCCCAGGCCAGAGCACCCAGAGGTGGCTGTGACCCCGTGGGAAGCCTGCGCTGGAGCAGGCTCCTGGCAGGACCTGTGGACCTGTGGAGAAATGAGCCCATGCTGGAGCAGGTTTGCTGGCAGGACTTGTGACCCCGTGGGGGACCCACACTGGAGCAGTCTGTTCCTGAAGGACTGCACCCCATGGAAGGGATGCGAAGAAATTCATGAAGAACCGCAGCCCGTGGGAAGGACTCACATTGGAGAAGTTCACGGAGGACTGTCTCCCGTGGGAGGGACCCCAGGCTGGAGCAGTGGAAGAGTGTGAGAAGGAAGGAACAGCAAAGTGTTATGAACTGACCACAACCCTGACTCCCCATCCCCTTGCACCACTCAGGGGGGAGGGAGGTAGAAGAGCTGGGAGCGAAGTTGAGTCTGGCAAGAAGAGTGGATGAGGGGAAAGGTGATTTTAGTTTTGCTTTCAATTCTCACTATCCTACTCTGTTATTAATTGGCAATAAATTGAATTAATTTCCCTAAGTTGAGTCTGTTTTGCTCATCACGGTAACTGGTAAGTGATGTCCCTGTCGTTATCTTGACCCACGATCTTTTCCATCGTATTTTCTCCACTACCTTATCGAGGAGGGGGAGAGAGAGAGCATCTTGGTGGGCACCTGGCAGCCAGGCAAGGTTAACCCACCACAAAAATCAACAATCAAAATGTTTCCTTGCACTCAGATCATTCACAGATGGGTCTTGAACCAACTTCTGATCTGCGTGCTTGGGCCAGCCCAACCCACGGGTCCCTGATACCAATCTTGCAAAAACACTCTCAATTCTCTGGCTACTTGACCAGGAAAGCCCTGACACAGTCGCTGTTGTTTATCGCCCCTAAAATCAGACATCCACAAAGGAGTCAGGCCTAGGTACATTGCAGGTCTACAGCTAGAACATGATCTTCAGACTCTCTGGAGCCGTTCCCCAGCCAGGCATGACCCCAGGGCTGCTCCTCTGCCTGTACACATATCAGTTTCAGAAATGTAAAGGGCAGATCTAGGGGAGAATCACGAGATCGGTGCAGAATCTGCCCCAATGCCAGGTCATTCCTCCTGTTCCTGAGACTAAGACAGTACCCACAGCCTGCTTTAACTACTGTGTTGCTCAGGCTGTCTTAAGCCCAGGCAGGCAAGAGCCTTCTGCTCAAGATGTAAGCACAGTCACCAGCCAAACGGCAGCCGCTCTGGTCCCTGGCTGGAGTTTCAGGCCATTGTTCATGAGTGCCCTCTACCACAGCAGGCCTGAAGCAGCCAGTCTCAGCTCTGTTCCAAGGGCAGCATGTCAGGACCTTCTCTCTGGGCTGAGATCCTCGAAGTAGCAGCAAAAGGCACTGGCTCCCAGTACCAGCAAAAGGCACTGGCTCCCAGTACGCAAGGGACAGGCTGAAGGGCACAGAGCAGCAGCGTGATGCTGACAGTACCCTCTGCTGGCAACAGTGAAAACGTCAGCCTTACAGGGTTCAGCAACACCCCATCAAAGGGTGCTTCCCTCCACAAACAGCCCAGCAGCCCACCTGAGCTCACCCCCCCTGTCTAACCTCAGCTCCAGCAAAAAGCATCCCTGACCTGATACTCAATCTCTTGCTGAAGATACGCGTCCTTACCCAGTCCATACTCCACGGACTCCGGATGGTCATCATCCCCCTCCTCACTGACCTTCTGCAGGTGCTGCAGGTAGGCGTCTGTGTGGAAGCTTGCCATCTCCTCCATGGAGGCCACTTTTGGCTTGACTATCCTAGGCAGAGAGGAGGAAGGGAGCACATCAGGACAAGAGGCTCCAGGGTTCGGCTGGAACGCCCAGCTGTAACGTCCTCACACTAGGAGCCTTCTTTTGGCAGTTACTATTGAAACAGCAAACAAATCCCCCTCCTCCTCTCGCATCGGACTGTCGCTTTCAGTGAGAAAGCTGCTCAGCTGAGCTGGAGTAGGCCTTTCCCCCAGCTTGGCCCTGTCTGCAGTGCCCACCCCAACGAGGAAAACCTGCAGGTGCTGCTGTGTTAACCTTTCCACTTCCATATTTTTTTCCATCTTCCGTGCATTCTCCCAGTTTGAGCTATCCCCAGCAGATCCAACATTCTGGTTAAACACAGAGGAAATAACAGAGTGAAACGTCCAGGCCCAGCCCAGGGCTATGGCAGGACACCAGCCTGCTGGGTCAAGAGCTGAGCAGCACCTCTTTACCTGTTCTTAACTCTGCTTGCATCCAAAGCAGAGACCGTCTCTGTCCTCAGCAACTCGCGCATCACCTTTCCTGGGTTTCAGCACTTTGCAATCTGCCTAAATAAATCTTCCGACGTGTTGAAGCCCTCTCCAAACCTCAGACTCTGGGGGTGCATTCAGGCAACGCAGAACAGGTCTATTGCTACTGGAAGAATGCAAGAAGCTCCCAGCTCCAAGCTAGCCCAGGTCCCAGCACCTCTCACCCCATGCCAGGGCAAACGGCCCTTTGGCTCTGCCTCTGTAATCACACCTGCAGCCACTTCCCAAGAACACTCTACCAAAATGACCAGAAAGAAAAAAAAAAAAAACTTTAGGAAAAAGTCCCAGTAGGACTTTCTGACCTTACTGAACTGCAGCATGGGGATTTTTTTAAGGTTTTATGAGATGCTACATAAGAGAGGCTGAGCTAAGCCTGTTTTTTTTCTTCATATCCCTCAGTGTCAAGAGCCTAATGGGGCAGGAGGGTTTCACTCTTCCGCCTCAGAGCTCATCTTGTTGCCTCTCCTGAACAGCACCAAGACCTCGCAAAAAGTCTCCCAAATCAGTCAAAACAACATGGTCCCTCTCAGCATCAGCACCGGCCAGTGGATCCGGAGCAGTGCAAACAAGGATGGTTTCTATGCCATCGCTTCTGCTCAGAGTCACGAGAGCAGCAGGTGACAGCATGCTCTACAGAGAAAGCACAAGGCAATTTGTGGTCCATCAGACTAGGAAGGGTAACCATAAATTACACCTGCCCTAATGATCATAATCCTGTGCATTTAGAAAAACAAGCAGACTTTCCTTAGATCCTAGAAATACACACTGCGTGAGCTCTTCTAATCATGCTGTCAGCGGGGACAGTATAAGACCTGCGGTTACTCAGTATCTTCCAAACCTTAGCAGAGAAGAAAATATTCTCTTCACAGAAAATGGGAGCACTTACTTCACCTGGTCAAGTAAGGAATACGCTTCTATCAACGAATGTACCATACTGGCCTAAAAAAAGAAGAATACCATGAGAGCGGCTCTAGCGTAGGCGACAGAAGCATAGCAACTCGCAGCGGTGTAATTACGACTTCTCCCAGCAGCACAGCTAAACCAGCACCAGCCCGAGCAGGGTCCCCTGACAGGGCATCCCCCACGGCGGGCGTGCAGCGCAGCAGGGTGCGTGTGCGGGGACTTCCCGGTGTGTCAGGAAAAGGCACGGCTGCCCAACGGGAGGGAGCGCCAAGGGAAGCGC